TTGGAATTGTACAGAGAGATATTGGGTGAGATTTGTAAGATTAGCTGAGTTTAAATTTTTTCTTTTGTGGTTGTGCCCATTGGATGTGGAGATGGATTTGCTGTCTCTTGTGGGCACTGAGGAAGTATAGATTTGTTTAAAAAGAAGAAGGAAGGAAAAAAAAAAAAAAGAAAACTACACTGTGAATTTTAGAAGCCGATGTATTTCTGAGATCGGGAATTGTAGAGTTTTATGAGCATGGCAAAGGGTTACTGAATTGAAAGGAAAAGAAATTGAAATTCTTTTACAATTAATTGTTAAGTCTCATGCATTCTGGTTTGGAAACTCTCTTTTGATCGACCAAATATATAAACCATATATATTATATGTATGTCTTAAGTAGGTTCAACAGACAAATTTTCTTTGAACATACTCTCAAATGCAATAAGTTTATTATGGTCTTGTATGCCAATTAATGTAAATTTTAGAGACCAATTTTTTCAATACTAGTATAATATATCTCTTAAACTTAATTACATATATAATTTCAAATGGAAAATGGTCCAACAAATACTTTTGGATTCAATATAATGATCTTTTAGGGCCTTAAATATCGTTAGACAAATTTTTTCATAAATTATGAAATCGTGAACTTTTTGATATTATTGTGTAAATTTTTACAAACTTGAATTTTATACTTATTTTTATTATAAATATCGTGAGCAATAATTTTAAACGTGTAAAGTTAAAATTTTTTGTTATTATCGTATCGTTCTCTCTCAGAGTAAAAAGATTTGAAAAAATTTACTTTAAAAGGATTATTAAATTCAATTTAGTGAACATTTAAAGTGATCAACATTATGAGTTTATATATTCGGTGTTGGTAGCGATTTTATTTAAAAAGCACTAATAGTTTAATATTATTGTACAAATTTTTATTGATATACGAAGAAGGAAAAGAAATGTTACTTTAGCTATTAAGGTTGATCTTGAAAAAACTTATGACCGATTAAGTTGAAACTTCATTTAGGATACCCTTTGAATCGCATGGCTCCCTCCTTGTTGGATTAACTACATGCGCATGCATCAAAACAACGACCGTGAAGATCAATATCAACGAGAATTCCACTACCCATTTTAATTTGTCTCGTGTTTTTAAGTAGGGTGACCATCTCTCGTATCTTTTTTTTTTTTTCATTTGAATGGAAAGACTTTTATATATTATTTAAGAGAAAATTGTAAACGAGAATGGAAACCCTCTTAAAATGAGTAGAACTAGTCTTACCTATCTCATCTTTCTTTTAGAGATCTCATATTTTTTTATGTAAGCCTTCTACAATTAAATACTCACTATTAAAACTTATTTTGATGTGTTTTATTCTTCTTTTAATAAGAGAATTAGGACATCATAAACTCGAATTTTATTCTCTAGGAACATTAGCCACGGGACTGCTTCCACTTTGAGCGACATGAGTACAACCCCTCGCATCAATGATCTCGGTAAGTATCTAACAGTCATGTTACTCTATTCGATGGTCATGAAATACATTTACCATGATATCTAAAAAAATCGAACTGTTAAGATATTCGGTTTCGGTTGTAGTCTTAAAATTGATTGATTAGATTCGATTACTTTTAATTAGTTACTACATTTTTAAATGCAATCTTGTTTTATCTCCTATTTTTAGCCTAAAAAATTATTTAAATAATTTCTAAAATCAAACTTTATAATTTTTTAATATTTTAATTTTCACGAACTAATATCTCAACACTTTATAGGTGTTACTTTCTATATATTGAAGTTATATTTATTATAATAATAAAAAATATTTATATTTTAAAATAGTTCTAAAAAAAATCATATATGAAAAGTATTCTCTGTCAATATTACGATTTTTAAAAATGCTAAATACATAATTGACTTAGTTATTATATTATAACTTTTTTTTTTATACTAAAATTTTAAATATTGTAGACTATTATTCTTGAATGGACTTAAAATAAAAATCAGTTCAAGTTTTATGGCTTTTAACATTTTAAATATTGTGAATTAATCATCAATGATTATGTAAGTATAAGTCTTAAATATATATATTTCTGACTTAGATGTTGTAAACTTAAAGCATATTTTTTTAAAAAAAAACCAAATCACTAAATCTATGTTATAAAAGGAAAAACAGGAAGTAAGATGAAATTAGAATAAAATGAAAGATTAAAAGCTTGAATTCACTATTATATATTGTTTTTCTGCAAGCAATGTCTTAAGAAAATGGCCATTGCTGTACTGCTGCTGCAATCGGACTCCACTGCCACTCCCTTATCCTTTTCAAAGGTTTCCATACTTTCTGGCCCATACCCATATGGAGTGGGACTGTTGACAGCTTTGGGAACCTCAACTAAATATCCTTTCTGAAGGGGATATCAATCAAAAATCAACCCTCCAATAAAGTTAAAAGAAGAAATATCAGGAAATCTCAGCCTCAAACT